CTTTGAAACGCCTCTGAACCAGTGCTTGAACAATTGAAACAAGGACTAGCTTCCTGGGGTAGGTACACTCTAAGTTACCACGTGTTGTTTGCATTATGACAGCTGCTTCATCACCATGGAGAACACCAACCAACTTCGCTCCCTTTTCCCACACAGTGATGTGCTCTTTGCTTTGCTTTCCACGAGCAGGACTACTGACAAGGCCATCAATTGTCACCTTGATGTCTTTAAGTAAGATCTCATTGGCATCCACAATGAACAGAAGATCTTGCTTAGTAGTCACAAGCAAGTGGCTCATAACTGGCTCAGTGGCTCCATAAGCACTGGAGTAGAATTTGAAGCTGCTGCAGTTGTTGCTCAATAACCTTTTGCCCATATAAAGCTTGCCGCTTTCATCGAGTCCGAAGAGAAAGGGTTCTGCCATACCATTTTTACAGCACAGAACTGCAGTCATCCAAGGACATGATGCTGGAAAACAAAGGTCAGAACCAATGCCACTGAATTGTGCTGGTGGATGCATTTTCGACAGATTTAAACTTGAGCAGTACTCAATAATCCTTCCTCCACTGATTTGAATGAAGGCTGAACCTCTTTTTGCTGGGTTTGGAGACACCCCAATGACTGAACTCTCCAGTTGCACTTTCTTTGATACTCTAGCCTGCCAGCCAGATGAACTCACTGAACCTGGCACAGAATCTTCTGAACATCTAAGTTCAATCTCATTGATGAAAAACAGTGAATCATGTTTATCTACAAGATTTCTGGTTTCACTGGACCTGATTGTTGTTAAAGAGTAGTCTTCACTATAGCAACAGATACCAATCAAGGTGCGTGTATCTATCCAAGTGAGGTGCATACAGTTATTCAAAGTGAAGTCAGAACAGCACGGGTCAACACCTATCCCATTGCCTTCAAATTCTTCCCAGGTATCTGGTGCTGGAAGTTCCACAATAGACAAGCTGCCATTTGACAGATAAGCAGCCAAGTGGCTCTTCGAGTTATTGGTCACAAAAGAAACCTCATTCACTGCACAAGGAAAGGCAAGGTGGAACAGAGACATGGGAGGTGGCATGAGGCCCAAAATAAGAGGAGTAACAAGAACATGGGAACCATCGATCACAAGTGCAACTGAACTCTCACTGACTGCCGTAGTCCAAGCAAACTTGTGAATAGTGACCTGGCCACTCAGTGTCCAGCAAATCAGATGCATTGGTTTCGTTGGATCCCAAAAGAACTTCACCTCCTCTTCCTTTGTGTACCGCAGTTCATGTTTCAAGTACCAGTGATTGTTCCTGCAGGTCCATATTTTGATAACATCATGCTGACCAGAAGAAACCAGAGCAGCAAGGATCTCAGAATTGCAGTTCCACTTTAAATCTTGAATGACAACCTCTGATGGCTCATCAATAGAAAAGTGGCTCCTCTCTAAGCCATTCTTCTCATAGAAAACAATGAGAGGGCACTTTCCCTCTGTCCTCCTATCAAGGGCTGTAGCAACCTTGGCTCCACTAGGCATCCAATCTAGTGATGCTCCCATAAAAGTTTTGGCATCTGAAGAAGAATGCACCTTTCCCGATTCACGTTCCCAGACATTAAGTTTTGTGGGGCTAGCAGAGCTATCGGGGGCCACAAGTGTAGCGAAATACTTCCCATCCCCCTGCCAAGAAATTGCACTTCGGATCTGACCACCGGTACTGTCTATGTTGTCAACGGTAGCATCCTGAGAAGAAGGATGTTTAGAATGGGGGAGAACACACACACACATACACAAGAACTTGTATAGTATTCAGTAAGACTTTAATATAAAACATACTTGAGGGTCAAGATTAGTCTCAAACAGCACTTCCCAATCCTGTGTGATGACAAGCAGTTGGCCGAGTCCAGTGGTGACAGAGAGAAGGGCCCCATCGGGGCTAGAGGCAATGGTGTTGACACCACCTTCCAGTCTTCCGACAACTTCAGTTGTTTTCTCGTCCACATTATACAAGAGCAGGCAACCGGCTGACGAACCAAGGAGTAGAGACTCCCTCTCCATGAGATAATCCATGGCAACAATGCAATCTCCAGGATCAAGAACAACCTCCTCCATGTCGGAATGTTGAGTAGCAATTTTGCTCCATTGCAGCCGTTGCTGCAGAAATGAGACGAAAGCAGGATACTCAGCACAACATGGAAAGCTACAAGATGAAGTTGTTGGCATAGCGAACGCTTTTCCTAGACTGAAAATTTTAAATCATTGGCTACACAGCAACATTTTAGTAAGTGTTTGCTGGCTTTTTAGCGTAGATAAAACAGGGATTGTTTAGCCTGGAAACAGTGAAAGAAACAAAAACTCGTCTTGGTCCGTAAGGGATGGGGGGTGGAATTTGAGACCTGGTCCTGGGTGAAGGACGCGGGGAGTGAGACGGTGTAGATGAAGTTGGCGGAGGAGGCGAAGAAGGCGCGGCGGCGCTCCGCGTCGACGGCGGAGGCGACGAGGGTCTCGCCGTCTATCTGTAGCTGGAGCTGCTGCGGGAGCCTCGTCACAAGGCGCAGGTTCTTCATCTCGCCGACGCCGACGCCGCGCTGCCGACGTCGAGGGTTTTAGTAGGAGCTTTTTGGGGCCCGCTGGAGACGGCAGCCGGCAGCGGCTGTGGGTGGAAGAGAGGCGGCGACGGCCGTGGGCGGGAGCCGGGAGGGGACGGCGGCTGTGTTTTGTTCGGTCGAAGAAATTGGCTAGGTCAACACGAGGAGGAAAGGAAAACCGCCGGAAGAGAGAAAGTAGACGGCCCGGCCCACAAGGTCCAAAACAATGATTCGGGAGACTGTGTTGTTTGTTTTAATTCACTTTTGAACTCCTTCACTTTTTCATCCAAAATAAGCTAACTACAGATTCAAATAAAAAAGCTAACTACCACGTCACTAATTATTAGCCTGTTTACTTGATGGTTTCAGTCATGACTTATCAGCCAGCCAACAATATTTTTCTCTCACAACGAACCAGCACCGGTCGAGCTTATCAGCTCAGAAATCAACCAGCGAACAGGCCGTATGATTCAAAGAAAATGCAGCCGTAACGAAAATAGCTAACTACCACCCCAGTTTTTCTCTAACATACCTCTGCATATGGACTTTATAGCATAACATTTTCTCTCTGAGTTCCCCTTGTTGAATATCAATTTTTTGGATCCTCAATCATCAGTGCTAAGGGTGCATTTTATTTGTCCACTGCAGCCACATCCAACATAGTCGAAGTGCATAACCTGCAATGCGCAAGTCGCCCAGTTCACCGTGGTTTTGACAATGGATCTAAACACATGTGGGCAGTTCGCAAAACTAGGTTTTTATGGCCAAACTGTATCATTTAGATCATCCTGGTACCTTCATGTAAATCTCATGCCACACCCGTGGAAAAAAAAGCCTTATTTGACGCTCTTTAAATGTGTATTATAGTATACACTAATTAATTATTACATATGCCTACCCGCCACTTGGTTCATCAGATAGATTATATATATATATATATATATATATATATATATATATATATATATATATATATATATATATATATATATATATATACACACACATAGCGAGCGAGCGTTAGCAGTCCCCGTCGTGGGAAGGTCCCGGTTGAGAGTTCGACTCCCGGCTGCCGCGGTTATAGTTATGGTAATGTGCAGTACATATACATATACACACACATAGCGAGCGAGCGTTAGCTCGAGTGGTTCCGTCCCCGTCGTGGGAAGGTCCCGGTTAGGAGTTCGACTCCCGGCTGCCGCGGGCATAGTTACGGTAATGCGCAGTTTGTGCAGAAAAAAATCCCCCGTCTGTCCCACGTCCGAAAGCACAGGTAAAAATGTTTCGACCCACTCACAGGGTTACGGGCCCCTATATGAGAGCGGGCATGGAATTCGGGATTTTTCTCAGCCTGCGTGTCTACGTAGGCCATATAAGAGGCATAGGAAAACACTAAATTTTGGTGACATGCTAGCAGTACATACATGGGCAAAATTTATGTGACTGATCCTGAAGCTGCGTTGCCGCATACATACATCCTAATACATTTCATGAAGTACTAAGCGCTTCGTCAATTCATACAAATAAAACCTTAGAACAGGTATTCAAATCTATATCTCTTATAATTCTAAACCCCTCTAGAATATTATTTTGACATGTAAGATGTCCACCTCAGCAATTCACTATTCTCTTATAATTCTAAACCACACTGGAATGTTATTTTGACATGCAAGGTGTCCGCCTCAACAGTCCATTGTCACTTATAATTAAAATCCACTGACACAAACAATTATGATATCCACGTCAGAGAGACACATTATTCAGTAACATACATTTAGTTGTCCACATCAGCGTGCCATGCTATCCACTCTCAGCAGTCCACTATACTCTTATAATTTTAAACCCCGCTTGAATGCTATTTTGACATGCAAGATGTCCACCTCAGCAGTCTACTATCATTTGTAATTAAAGTCCACTAACTCAAACAATTATGATATCCACGTCAGCGAGACACATTATCCACTAACATATATTTAGTTGTCTACATCAGCGTGCCATGCTATCCACTATCTAGCAGTCCACTATTCTCTTATAATTCTAAACCCACATTTAGTTGTCTACATCAGCGTGCCATGCTATCCACTCTCAGCAGCCCACTATTCTCTTATAATTCTAAACCCTACTTGAATGTTATTTTGACATGCACTGTTACTTGCAATTAAAGTCCACTAGCACAAACAATTATGATATTCACATCAACAAGATACATTATCCACTAACATACATTTAGTTGTCCACATTAGCGTGCCACTGATATTAGTTTATAATAGTTAATTTCTTTCTAAGAATTATATGAACAGTTAAATTTCATTCTAAATCAGTAGTTCTCGCAGCAACGGGCGGAGCGTTCTTTCTAGATATTCATATGCTATTCCCTTTTACACGTGAATCTATACAAATCGAAAAAGCAAAAGAAACACCAAGCAAAAGATTCATCAGCGAGGGTGACGAAGCCAATCCTGGATAGCAAAGCGAAGGGCGTGGTTAGGTGTGAGATTGAGCTGCTCTAGTTTCAGGTTGTTCAGAGGCGCTGTCCCCTGCCCAGTCTCCATCCGCTCACGGATTGCCCACCCTTCATAGGTCACCCCATCAGCACACACCTGAGGATCATGCATTATCTCCTGCAGGCCAAAACAGAAGAGGAAGAAAAATACCAAGTTCCTTGTCATTATCACATCCAACCCCATACCCATTCCCTAGATAACAATGGTGCAAGATGATGGTACTTGCCTGCATAATTGGGCACAGGAAAGAGGAGGGTGCTCGTTCCTCCCTCATCAAGTGTAGCTGTTCCAGTTCTCGTACAGTCTCATGAGTCAGGTCTGGGCGATCTCGGCTGCTGTCTTCACTGCACCTCAGGCCCAATTCTGCTAACCTTCCAGCCACCTCCATAGACCACTGCCCAGCAGTCGGATCAAGAACTGATGATAGCTTGCCACAAGACATAGCACGCCTTACTTCACCAGCAAGCCCTGCAGGCTCTTGTTTTCCGGTCAGCAGCTGGAGTATCACAATGCCGAAGTAGTATACATCAGACTTCGGTGTTAATACTTTGCTTCTCTTGTACTCTGGGTCTGCATAGGGAAAAGACCCTTTCAGCTCAGAACCTCCCGATGGATAATCCTTCATGTCATCCGTGAATAGCCAAGAAACACCAAAGTCGGCTATCTTGCAATGGCATTCAGTATCTAGAAGGATGTTCTCAAGCTTCAAGTTGCCATGTACGATCATCTGAGGTTTACAGGAATGCAAGAACAGCAGTGCATCTGAGATCTCAGAAACAATGCGTGCACGAATTTTCCATGGCAAGTGACGGCTATTGCATCTGCTGAAGAGGCGGTCATGAAGGGTCCCATTTGGCAGATATTCATAAGCGAAACACAGCGCTTCTGGGCATGCCCCAACCAGTGTCACTAGATGAGGGTGCCTCACCTTGCTGAGGATATAAACCTGACATAGAAAACAGAAATAAGTATCTTCAGCTAACCGAGGATATGTTCTTAGACACATACATAACTGATAAAAGGTTCCCATGAATTCAATAGCAATTTCTAAATATATTTGCAGTGCCATCAGACCTAAGATATGCAACAAACAAGCAGAAAATTTGCAAGCCTGGTGAAAAATGTGTAATGCACCGGTACAATGCGTTTGTGTGTCCGCAAAATAACTTCCATAAGTTCTAGAGTGCATTGGCTAATCAATAAACATATCAAGTGCAAAAGGTGTGAAAATCAGAGAAACATGGAATACCTCTTGCTGGAACTGCCTCACGCTCTCAATGCTATGGCAGAGCAGCTTATAAATCATCACAGTTCTGTTCATAATTTCTCCTTTGTAAACACACCCACGACCTTGTGACCATATCTTGAAGCTCTCTGAGAAATTACACGTAGCAGATTGCATATCGGACATTGTAAATTCTCTGAAGCTGTACAAATCATCTCCAAAAGCATTTGAGACGCAATTTGACAGTGTGGCATGGCTGTATGTGCACTCCTTATCCAGGTCAATATGTCTGTTTTCTCACTTTTGCATTTTCAGTTTCTTCTGGCAAAGACTTTCTATGGAAGATTGGATCACTTCAAGCTCTTCTGAAAACTCATCTATCCGAAGCTTTATTTTTTCAGCATGGGCATCTAGGATAGCTAATCTTCTCTTCGAAGAGTCCAGCCCTGATACTGCTCTCTCTTTATTCTTTATAAGATCTTCATGCTGCTTTCTTGTGGCTACCAATACAACTTCAAGTTCCTCCCTCATTTTCATTTCATGTTTTTTAGCAGAATCAGAATCTTTTATCTGCACAAAGGCCAGGAGACGGGTAAGAACAATGAACAAGTGCAATAGTTTTCTGCACATTAATTCACATGGAATGTTTACTGCTGAGTATTGGGATTTCACCTGGCTTCCTATTGATGTTGTGTAAAGTTACAAGAATAGGGCAGTAAAGTAAATAACCCCTCCGTTCCAAAAAACTAGTTCACTTCAGCTTTGTCTTAGGTCTGGTCTAGTGGCCTCTTGAGATGGTTGGAGAGTATAGAGGCCTTCATGGTTTTTGTATAGGTTTCGTTTTGGTCGGATAAGGTGTTTGGGGGTTATTTGGTGCTGTAAGGGTCGTCCTTTCCTGAAGTCATTGTTTTTGCTTAGTGGTCTTGGTCATGTAGGTCATGTTCATGTTCGGTCGTGCTTTGGTTGGTCGTTGTGCCTGGCTATTTTTTACCTTTCTCCATACACAGATCTCTTGCGCATTGGAGAAAGAAAGACTTCTCTAACTTTTGACGAAGTTTATGGAAAAATACATTTGTCGGTGTTTCAGACCTGGGGGTCCTCAACCAACCAACTAGTGAATTTGAGCTGCGTGCCCCTAATCCCGGATGGTGATACAAAGAGACACAAGGTGTATACTGGTTCAGGCAATCGGTGCCCTACGTCCAGTCTGAGAGATCGATCTTGTATTCCTTGCACCGAAATGCTTGTAGTAGGGGGTTACAAGCTAGGTGAGAGAGGGAGCCAGTCCCAGGTCTCGGCGAGGTGTGAGATGGGTCGCTTGAGACGTTGCTCTCAGGCGGCAAGGAAATGTGTCTGTTACAGGGTGTTGTTCTTCGTCCCCCAGAAATGGCCCTGGCTGCCCCCTTTTATAGCTGTAAGGAGGGAGCCAGGAATACATGAGAGAGCTACACGTGGAGCCTTAGAAGGAAGATCTAGTACTCTATCCCTGCAGCAGCACAGTGTCGGGAATGGCAATTGGTACTTGATCCTTTGGTGCGTCCACATGAGCCATGCCGAAATTTGTTGAGGTCGTGGGAGTCCTTGTTGACGTCTAGTCGGTATGGCTTCCTTTGTGGGAGACATGCCGTGCCTTGTGTGTTCTTGACTTGGTGGAGTCCGAGGGGCTGGCGGGTGTTATGGTGATCGTGCGAGGCACGCTTTGCGAGGCCTCGAGGAGGTGACCCGTGTATGATGCGGGGGTCTCGGCGGTCAACGTCGTACCCGGTTCAGGTGGAGAAGTGCGGAGTGTGTGTCCACAGGGCACGGTAACCCCTGCACCGTTAGTAAGGGATGGTAAAAAGGAGATTTGACCGCTGTCCCATCGCCCTGTTCTTTGCACCCACGCCGGTCGTGGCGGCGTAGTAGGTGTGACCAGCGCACTTAAGCGGATGTGACGGCTCGCCCGGAGAGGGACGGTTGAGGCGGAGGCGGCGAGGATCGCGGGGCGAGCCCGGCCTCGGCGAGGCGGAGAAGAATAATACGTCCGAGGCCCCTGCCGGGGTCTCTCGGACGAGGCGAGAACGACGAACGGTTGGTCTTTCATCTTTGATTCCGAGACTACTGAGGACCCGGACTTGACCCTTCACGCCACTTTGTCCTTGGCGCGAGGAGTTTAGGAGGCACAAGCCAAGACGGGTGTCGGCGGGGGCACTGATGATGAGCACGATGGTAGTAGTAACCCTGCTGCGCTCGGTCCCCCTATCCCGTCGGTCATTACGCTCATCTTGTGCTAACGTCGCGGCCGACGTTCTGCGGGAGTAGTGGGCGCGATTAAGCTGGGCGTGGACGTTTTGTCAGGGGAGTCGGTCGAAGCGGGGGCGACGGACTATGGATAAGCTGGCCTCGCGCAATACGGAGAATGAGGCCTTGGTGAGACGGAGGGCGGAGCCTCGCGCGAGACGGAGATCGGACTCCTTGCCGAGGCCTACCGTGAAGAGCCTCGCGCGAAACGGAGATTGTGTTCCCCACCGAGGCCTTCCGTGGAGAGCCTCGCGCGAGGCGGAGATTGCGTCAGGACGCCGAGACCTTCTGCACGAGGCTCGAGATGAGGCGGAGAGCCTGGCGGGCTCGGACGTGGCGGTGTGAGGGCCCCTGGCTTACCTTCTAGCTTTGTATTTTGATGGGACTTAAGTGACCCTTTTGATGTTTGCTCGAGGTACCCCGTCCTAAGGTGCCGAGCAGTAGCCCCGAGCCTCGGGAGTGCGTGCACTCTCCCTGAGGGTTCGCCAAGGCTTGGTTTATTCCCGCTCCCGTGGGAGTTAGGTTTTGTTTCTTGAGGTTCCGGTGGTGTGCCTGTGGCGCTTCCGGCGGTGTAGTCTTCGAGGCCTGGAGGGTGGAGTTACTCCTCCCGGGGCTTTTTTTTCATTTTCGCGTTTGAGCGAGGGAGTTTTATCGCATTTGCCGAGCCCACAAGCGCAAGTTCGGGTTGCGGGGTCTCGGCGAGGCTGCAGAAAAAGCCCTCTAGCCTCCGCCTTGCAGGCGAGAGGTCCATCGAGGATCCCCGACTTTGGAGTACGACCCTCACGCTTCCTTTTCGCTCGGAAGGAGGGTGGAATGTGCCGAGCTACCCTCGGTGGGCACAGCGTGGGCACTCCGGTGTGTTGTTATCGGGTAGTCCAGTGTAGGCCCGAACCCCGTTTGCTAAGGGTCGGCTAGCGGTCAGGAGACGCACTCCAAGAGTATCGAGAGGGTTTCCCTAGTGGGTGCCGAGGCCGTTCATTTGGGCCTCGGTGGCTCGGTGCCTCCCTACGGTGGGATCCCATTCGGAGACTTCCTGCCGGTCTTTGGACACGACTTAGACGCCCGAGCGATCGTTCGCTCGGGCCTCGGCCATTCGTGAGGCTCGCCCCAAGGTCGATCCACGACTCTGTTGCCACAGGGGCGACTGTCGAAACCTCTGGAGGCCCAGCCTTCGAACCCCTGGACCGTAACGGGCTCGATGCCCTTTATCGTATTTATAACGAAACTTCTAGCGTGGACTTAGACCGTTTGTCTTTGTCTTGGGCGCAGAAGAGCCCCGAGCCTCCGCCGGGAGCAGGGGAGGGCGGTCGGGGTCCCTGGCTTTTCATCCGACCCTCACATATCCTTTTCGTTCGGACGGAGGGTTTGTTTGCCGAGCCCATTACAGTGCGAGCCGGAGCCACTGGTCTCGGCAAAGTTGCAGGAAGAGCCCCTAGCCTCTGCTGCTGAAGCGAGAGGGCCGTCGGGAGTTCCCCGGCTTTTTATCGCCCCTCGTGGCGTGAGGTTTGTTTGCCGAGGCCCTTTGGGCGCTAGCCCGGTCGTGGGGTCTCGGCGCATCTCTGAAGAAGAGCCCCTAGCCTGCACTGCAGGCGAGAGGGCCGTCAGGAGCTCCCTGTCTTTTTGTACGACCCTCACGCTTCCCTTTTCGCTCGGAAGGAGGGTTTGTTTTGTCGAGCCCCTTTGAGCGCGAGCCAGGTCGCCGGGTCTCGACAAGGTTGCGGAAGAGCCCTTAGCCCCTGCATAGAGCGAGAAGGCCGTCGGGGGTTCCCCGACTTTTGTACGACCCTCATGCTTCCTTTTTGCTCGGAAGGAGGGTGGAATGTGCCTCGCTACCCTCGGTGGGCACGGCGGTGGCACCTCCGGTGAGCTGTTTTCGGGTAGTCCGAGTGGAGGCCCGAACCCCGTTCGCTAGGGGACGGCTAGTGGTCCAGAGACACACTTCAAGAGTACCAGAGGATTTCTCTAGTGGGTGCCGAGGCCGTTCGCTGGGCCTCGGTGGCTCGGTGCCTCCCTACGGTGGGATCCCATTCAGAGACCTTCCTGCCGGTCTCGGACACGACTTTGGGCGTCCCAAGCGTTTCGCTTGCTTGGGTCTCGGCCCCGTATAGGCTCGCCCGCGGTCGTCCCTGACTCTGTTATCCTGGGGCGGCTGTCGAAACCTCTTGGGGCCGAGACCCCCTGGACCGTAATAGGCTCAGAGTCTGGTTCCTTCATATGGAAGGAATAGGCCGTGGGGAATATCTTCCCTATTGGCTCGACAACGGGTGGCGCGCCTTTTGAGGCGGTTTCCTGGGGAGGCGAAACGATGCCTGCTGCCGTAGTGGCCGAGCGTGACGTGGTGGATGGGACGTAACTGTTCTCGCATTTAATGAGGGAGACATGGGCGCGTGGGCCGGCGAAATCGGCTCGTGGTTAACTGCGCCGGATCGGGGGGAAACTTCTCCGATTTCGTCGCCCGTCCGTTTCGCCTCCTCCCTGCATAAATACCCGAAGAGTCCCGCCCCTCGTCTTACCTTGCCTGTATTAGCACTGCCTCCGTCGAGCCGTCGCTAGAGCAGCGGGTGCCGGGAAGAAGAGGGGAGAAGAGCGAGCCTAGGGAGAAAGCGAGGAAAAAGTAAGAGCGTGGGAGAGAGAGAAAAAACTCACCGCCGCACCCGATTCCTCCATCGCACCCATGGCGGCGACATCGTCGTTGTCGAGGCGGACCCACAGGATCCGTCGGATGTCACCGAGGAGATGCTTGATCGCTTGTCGACGGCGGACTCCTTCGCCCGGTGGCAGACCCCACCAGAGGAGTGGATTGCTCCGTGCGGCGTGCGAGCCGAGGCCCCGCGACGGCTACGTCGTAAGCCGTCTCCTTTCACGAAGCGCTTGCCTTGGCGCCCCGGCGGATCGGTTCATCGCTGGGCGCTCCGCATTACTACGGCGTGGAGCTCCACAACTTCAACCCCAACTCCATCGCTCGGCGGCTATCTTTGTTGCCGTCTCTGAGGGTACTTTGGGGATTGCTCCCCATTGGGAGTTGTGGCTCCACCTATTCCGGCGGGGCACACTACCAAGCCCGGCCAGGCACGTCGGAGTACGAGGAAAGCGGCGAGGGCGGTGGTTGCACTCTCCAAGTCGCCGGGACCGCTGCACCTCTACATTCGGCCCGGCTCGCGTCATCCAATCGTCGGTGGTACATGAGTTGGTTCTACCTTCGCAATGACGACGGAGGACTTCCCCCTACCTTTGGGCGGATTGTGGGGAGTTGCCGGAGAGATGGAAGTCTGGCGTCCCGAAGGACGACC